CAGTTCAGTCTCAGGTCGTCCTCAGCCCGGATGGTAAGCACCGTGGTGGAAGATCATTGTTTCACAAGATCCGGTATAATCCTCCCCACTCCAGCCTTTAAACACGCGCCCTTGCCTCAAACGCTTTGAATATGCCTGCAGGTTACTACGGTGTGTATATCCCCATTGGAGTGCTCTACTTTTCCCAAATAAATATCTCCACTCCTGGAGAATCATTCTCATTGTTTTCTTTCATTCCTGTTGGCAGAATCATCTTTCCCATAGATCATCCCTGCTCTGTGTTGACAACACCTGGGTGCTGCGCCCAGGTCTACCCCTTGGGGGAGAAAGAAGCAGAAGTAGGTAGAGACAGGCCTCTCCCAGGGTTGCCCCCAAAGAATCCTGACTCTGGCCTTGTAAGATACACAAGGACTCGCTGCTTAAGGAGAACTCCCCCAAGTTGACTGGGGAATAAGAGCCCGAGATCTTGTTGATGCAAACAGAAAGAGTAGCCAGAATTTCACCCTGAAGTCAACAGTCCATGGATTTGAAAAGAGCGTGAGGTGAAGAATGTATTTAGGGAAAAGTTGTGTCTCACAGCCCCTCATCCAGGTTTTTCTTGAGTCTGGGCTGGGTAAAACGTGTGAAAGGATGGTGGGAAAAGTGCCTTCCCCTCCTAGATCAGAGCCTTGTTGTCCGAGTGGAATCCGGTGTTGCTGCACTAGACAGGTGATCAATAGCCCAGGTGGTTGGCTTGCACATTGATTTAGCGGGAAGCCCCTTCCATCAAGCGCATGCATTCTCCAGAGGGCGGAACAGAAGAGGCTTGCAGCTGGGTGTCTGATGCAGATGCCAATTTCACTCTTTCTCCTTTTACTGGACAGCAAAGAGCCGTGAAGCATGCTGGCTGTTACTGCCTCACCAATATCGAGTGTGTTCTCTGCTCGGTGGAGCCACAGCCCCAGTGACGGGACTTTGAAAATCGTGTATCTCCTTCCTCCATCCACAGATAAAGTAGCCTCTGATAGAAATGCCTTAGAAAGGGAAGAACTAGCCTGAACTTGATTTTCTCCCTGGAGTGAACTGACTGCTTTAAAAAATAATAAACATATTTCATTCATGACTTCCCACGCTGGCTGCGCCTCTATGCACTAATTGCAGTGAAGCTCACACGCACACAAAGTCATCGTTGCCTTCCACAGGTCCATGGGAGACTTAGAGGCAGCTTCTCAGAAGCCAAAGAAGAAAATAATTGTTGTACCAACACCTGCAAGCACTTTAGAAGGCTTACCTATGTCCACAAGGACTAATTGCTTTCTGAAGCTATAAACAATGCTTACTTACCTCATAGTTCTTTCCCTTCACTAATTCTGAGGAGTTAGAACAAGAGGAGGTGCTGTCAACAACCCCCCTGCCAAGTTGTTTTGAGAGCTGCCTTTGTGAATAAAATGGAACTCTTGGTGCTCAGAGTGTAGCCAGCATCACTGTGACTGACTCCAGGAAATGCATTTGACCTTGAGGAACTATCATTTTATATTCCTCAACCATGGGAAGCCAGTTTTCACTCCTGCCAGGGATAAAATCAGCTGAACTCCTACTTCTCAGATGCTACTGGAGCCAGATTTCTCCTGCTCCTGCAGGTACTCAGGCAATAAGCAATAGGCTGGCAGATCCTGTTTATCGCAAAAGCACTGGGCCTTAGGTGATTTTCTCTCAAAACTGAGAGCATCATTGGTAGCTGAGGTCCTAATTAGAGATTATGCCATGGCTTGCAAATCTATTGCTCTAACAAATAGCTTATCAGTGGCCCTATCCTCCCACGCAGAACTGTGGGAACTCTTAATTAACCAGAGATTTGAGCACAATGAATCTTTGTTTTAACAATGATGGGTTTGTTGTTTTGAACTAATCACATATGCACAATGAAAGTTCACTTTCAAAAAAGTTGGAGCAAAACCCTGATCTCTGCTGCTGGAGATTACTTTCTGTAGTGGCCATCAGGGCTGGTTCCAGGAAAGACAACAATCAGACCTCACTCCAATGCAGTGCTTCCTGCATCTCATCCAAATATGTATCCTCCAGTTTCCCAAATTTCATTTTCAAACTTTTCTCCTAAGGCGCAGACCCCACCATTATGGGGGGGGGACGTATCTCCTGCTAAATTCATTGTTGGAGCTCCAACCCCGTTGTGATGGTATTTGGAGATGAGGCCTTTAGGAGATAATTAGGGTTATGTGAGATCATGAGAGTGAGCAGATCATAAGATTCTATATTATTTTTTAAATATTTTATCTATTTGAGAGACAGTTACAGAGAGAGAAAGAGAGAGAGTGTGTGTGTGTGTGTGAGAGAGAGAGAGAGAGAGAGAGGTCTCCATCTGCTGGTTCACCCCCTAAATGGCTGCAATGGCCAGAGCTGAGCTGATCCAAAAGTTAGGAGCCAGGAGCTTCTTCCAGGTCTTCCACATGGGTTCAGGGACCCAAAGACTTGGGCCATCCTCCGTTGTTTTCCCAGGCACATTAGCAAGGGATTGGATCGAAAATGGAGTGGCCAGGACTTGAACTGACACCCATATGGGATGTTGGCACTGCAGGCTAGGGCTTTAACCTGCTGTGCCAGAGTGCCAGCCCCACAGTTTATAAGAAGAGACACCAGAGAGCTTTCTCGTTCTCTCCATGTGTGCAGAAAGAAAAGAGCATATGAGGACACACTAGAAGTCCACTGTCTATCAACGGGGAAGAAAGCCCCCTCCAGGCACCTTGAACTTGGACTCCTAGCTTCCAGAATTATGAGAAAATAAGTATCTCCTGTGTAAGTCATCCAGTCTGCAGTATTTGTGATGGCATTTGCGTGCTCAAAGTGCACATTCTAGTGCAATTTGGTCTACTTGCAAGTGTTCAGGTGCCTTATTCTCGTGCATAGCCAGGCACACAGCCTTCTCCCTAGTCAGCAGTGGCATCCGTCTGCCACAGGACTGCTAAGGGAAGGAGTGGCTGGACCAGTTTAGTTTTGACCAACAAATGGGAGTTGAGAAGACAGTATCCATCTTGAAAGCTTTGATGGGAAGGGACTTTCTAGATTTCCCTGACTCTGTCTTTGGAGTGTAATAACTGGGCCTGAGAGACCCTGATGGTTTCATTTGTGTGGAGAGGCTGTGACAGTCAGGATTCCCTAGAGAAACGGAACCAACAGGGGTGTGTGTGTGTTGGGGGGTGGGGAGGTGGAGAAGAGATTTTTAAGGAAATGGCTCACAGGATTGTAGAAGCTGGCAAGTCCAAAGTCTGCAGGGACAGTCTAGGAGGCTGAAACATCCAGGGGGACCCGGTGTTGCTGATGGAGCCTGAAGACTCTTTGTTGGCAGATTGCTGCCTCCTTGGGGGCGCTCAGTCTTCTGGATTAAGGGCTTCAGCTGACTACATGAGCTCACCTCCATTATGGAGGGTGGTCTGCTTCATTCTAAGCCTACTGACCTAAACGTTAATCTGATGGGAAAACTCCCTCCATAGAAACCCTTAGAATACTTTTCTGGGTCCTGTGGCCCACCCAGTCAGGTAGGCCTGAAATTAACCATCTCAGAGGCTAACTCTCCTTGAACTCTCCTGCCTATGGGAACTGTACCATGAGACTCATTGCCTTACAGCAAAGGCGGTTGTGGTACTAAGTTCTCTCCTGCAGTGTAGTTATGGACATGGAAATGTGAATTTGATATAATTTTCACATGCCATGAAATTTTTTCTATCAACTTAAAAATGGAAAAAGTAAATTTTAAAGTAAATTTTAATGGATCACTGAAAAATAAGGGCATACTGTCTCACAGGAAGTAATTTATCGAAACCTTTCTAATCCTTAGAAATCAAACTTCTTGTTCTCTGAGGACTAGTAACCTTTTTTTTTTATTATTATTTGACAGGTTGAGTTATAGACAGAGAGAGAGACAGAGAGAAAGGTCTTCCTTCCGTTGGTTCACCTCCCAAATGGCCACTACAGCTTGCATACTATGCCGATCCGAAGCCAGAAGCCAGGTGCTTCCTCCTGGTCTCCCAGGTGGGTGCAGGGCCCAAGCACTTGGGCCATCCTCCACTGCACTCCCTGGCCACAGCAGAGAGCTGGACTGGAAGAGGAGCAGGTGAAGGATTAAGCAAGTGAGCCACGGCAGCCCGGAATAGTAATCTTCAACTGTTTTCTTGTTGCAAACTTTTTTTTTTTTTTTTAAATATTGTAGGCCGCACCCTGGCTGGTGCAGCGACGGCCTGACATGAGGCCAGGGCCTCTCGCCTCCCTGCTGTCACCGGAGCAGGCCCATCCAGTCCCATGGCCGCGCCGCCACCAGCCCCTCACCCAGCTTTGAGACCCCTGGCTGCCTTGCAGCGGCAGAGGCAAAACAGATCCGCCCTGAAGCCACGCGGCGGCGGAACGCAAATTTTCAATAAAGGCTTGCATTCTTTCCTTCATTTTCCTGCAATGTTACTCAATTTTTGCTTCCTGTTATTTATTCTCTAAGTGACCTGCCTAGAAGGAATGATTTTCATCTGTAATATTTATTCTATTGGGTTATATTTCATAGTGCACATATCAATTTTTCCCAGGTACATAGTGGGGTCTCTTAATACGGAGATTCAGGTTTTTTTTTAATTTCAGGAAAACTTCCTTGATTTAAATTTTAAATATTTTCTTCCATTGCTTTAGTTTAGTTATTTATTTATTTTTTACAATTAAATCCACAATTGTCTACATGCATCTTACTCGCATGTCAGTGAAAAATCACCAAGTATTACAAAAGCAGAACAAATGATATCAGCAAAGAACCAAACAATGGAGCAAACAACTTGATAAAATCTGCATATCCCCCTATGGAAATGACTGCTCTCCTGGTGTCCTCACAGTCTCTTCTGTCTACTGGTGTACAACACTTTTTAATTGGATCAGGATAAACAGGAGCCAAGGAGTTGTGTTTTTTTTTTTTTTTTTTTTTTTTTTGAAAGACACCCAAATTCTTCCTCGAGTTCCCTGCTGGACTCAGCGTTTGGTGTTAAACAAACCGGAGTCTCCGTTTCCACGGATAAATGTGTCCCCACACTTCCTCTTCCGCTGGCCATTTCCACATTCTTCTGTCTGCTCCAGGGCTGTATTCAGGTAGCCACCCAGGCAAGCCAGGACCCCGCGCTAACCCGCTCCAGAATTTGATTTTACAACTGGTCGCTTTAAGAAGTTGCTGGGGGTTGCTTCCGCAGACTCACTTTAACAATCTTGGGAGGCAGGAAACCTGAGTTCTACCCCAGCTCTGCTCTGAATTAGCTGTGACTGGGATAACTCATCATCTCACCTCTCAAGGCCCCGCTTTCTCATCTCTCGGGGGGATCCTGAACCCCCATTCCAGGAGCCCCAAGCCCCGCTCCAGGGACCATCGCAGCGCAAACAGAAACCGTGGAGGAAGCGCCTGGTGTCATTGAGGTCCTCGTCCTGTGAGTGCTCTGGGTCATCAGGCTCTCACTGGTCACTTTCTTCTTCCCTTTGACCTTTCTCCTCTCTCTCCTTTACGCTCTGTGTGGTGCTCCTGGTTCTCTCTCTCCTCTATTGCTGACTGTGGCAATTTTGTCTTTATTTATGAGTTGACTCTATCTTATTCCTGTATTTCTTCCCTGAGTCTGGCCAGTTTCCACATCATGCTATTTATCTCCTGGGTTTCTGAGTTCTAGATTCTTGGTGATCTTAACTGCTCATTCAATTACATCTAATCTACATTAGACTGTCATAACCCTTTACATTAAATGTTTTTGTAAAAATGTATTTATTTATTTATTTAAAGAGAGTGTTTTTGTAAAAATGTATTTATTTATTTATTTATTTAAAGACAGGGTGATAGAGAGAAAAAAAGGCAGAGGCAGAGAGAAAGGTCTTCCACCCACTGGTTCACTCCCCAGTGGCCGCAACAGCCAGGGCTGGTCCAGGCTGACCCCAGGAGATGTGAACTCCATCTGGGTCTCCCACAGGAGTGGCCCAAGTACCTGAGCATCTACTGCTGCTTTAGCAGGGAACTGGGTTAGAAGCAGAGCAGCTGGCACTTGAACTGGTGCTTACAGGTGATGGCTTAACCCACTGTGCCACAATGCCGACCCCTACATGAAATTTTAAAAATATTTATTTATTCACTTGAGAGGCAGAGTTATAGACAGAGAGAGGGAGAGCCATAGAGAAAGAGAGAGGTCTTCCATCTGCTGGTCCACTCCCCAGATGGCCGCAATGGCCAGATCTGGGCCTATCCGAAGCCAGGAGCCAGGAGCTTCTTCTGGGTCTCCCACATGGTTGCAGGGGCCCAGGCACTTGGGCCATCTTCTCCTGCTTTCCCAGGCCATCAGCAGGGAACTGGATCGGAAGAGAGGCAGCCAGGACACGAACAGGCCCCCATATGGGATGCCAGTGCCACAGGTGAATGCTTAACCTATTTTGCCAAGTGCTGGCCCCCACTAAATGTCTTATACAAGAAAATGTCTGAATGTGGGGAGCAACTCGGACTAGACTAAGTTACTGGAATTAAGACTTATTCTATGCATCTGCTCTCCCACAATATGGCGCTGGGAGAGGAGGAAACAGCTTCTACGCAGCTGCCTCTTGCCAACTTGAGTGATGACCTCCAGGAGCTGATCCTGCTCCTGATTGGAGGAGAGCAGCGTACTCGGCGTGTGGGCAGCTGAGTTGGGATTGGCAGAAGAGGACTATAAAGGAGGAGAGAGACAACATGCACCAAGAACATCTATCTGGAGGAACACCTGAGGAACATCTGAGCAGCCCCCGAGAGAGCCGGCGGTGTGCCGCTCCCCCGCGGAAGTGGGGAAAGTGGCCAGGGGGAACCGCCCTTCCACGGAGGTGGAAGGGTCGGTAGCCAACCCTGGAAGAACCAGCAGCAAACCCGGGAAGGGCCGAGCAGACAAAAGAACAGCGCAGGGTCCTGTGTCGTTCCTCCACGAAGAGGGGGAGCGACATAATGGTGCCGTGACTCGGATATGAAGCCTAGGCAGGGTCCTGTGTCGTTCCTCCACGAAGAGGGGGAGCGACATAATGGTGCCGTGACTCGGATATGAAGCCTAGGCAGGGTTCAGTGTCGTTCCTCCACGAAGAGGGGGAGCGACATAATGGTGCCGTGACTCGGATATGAAGCCTAGGCAGGGTTTAGTGTCGTTCCTCCATGAAGAGGGGGAGCGACATCTGAATATAAAATTGACGTGAAAATGTGAGTAGGCAACCCCCAAATTTACATCTGACAAATAAGAAAATCAATATTATTATAAATGTTAAAAGTATATTATTTAAATAATATTCGTTATTAAAGTTTAAAAACTGGAAAATTGCTAAAATGGGCTATGCCCAGTGATGGGATGGTTAAGAGAGACCTCCTTCCACGCTAGTGAGGATTGTCTCATTTTGGAAGGCCATTCGGCTGTATTTAACAGGAGCCTAGACTATGTGCTTAATCTGGAGAGCTTCAAGGTGCTCTTCTCATCTGCACAGTAATGCGTCTCCCAAATGTTCAGAAAGTAAGATCTCCATTTACAGGCTGTTTTGAAAGATGAGAGTTGCATTGGAGTACTTTGATCTCAAGCCAGCTAAGAAACTGACCTAGAATTACTGAAGTCTCTAAGAATTTATTTCCTGGCTCGTCTGGGTTGGTTGGTCTTCTGTGTTGCTGAGGGTACACGCTGGATTCCACCTGGGGGCAGGGACCTTTTCTCTGGAAAGTGTCTTTGCTGTTCAGTTAAAAAGGAACATCACGTCCTGAAGCGAGTACCCGGGAGTCTAAGTAATTTCACCTCATAGTGCAGGACAGTTCCTAAGATGCACAGGTGAAGATGATAACTTGTTGGTTTGCTTCATACGCTGAGGGCTGGAGAAAGAATTGAAGAAGTGGGGGCTGGTGCTGTGGTGTAGCGGGTAAAGCTGGCATCCCATGTGGACGCCAGTTCGAGTCCCGGCTGCTCCACTCCCAATCCAGCTCTCTGCTATGGCCTGGGAAAGCAGTGGAAGGTGGTCCAAGTCCTTGGGCCCCTGCCTCAACGTGGGAGACCCGGAAGAAGCTCCTGGCTCCTGGCTTCGGATCGGTGCTGCTCTGGCTGTTGCAGCCAATTGGGGGAGTGAACCAGTGGACAGAAGACCTGTCTCTGCCTTCCTGCCTCTCTGTGTAACTCTGACTTTCAAATAAATAAATAAATCTTAAAAAAAAAAAGAATTGAAGTGGAGGATCATTGTTATCAGAGACTCTGCTTTTATAAAGACAAGCTCCTGAAATACGGCCACAGAAGAATGGATCTCAATTAGGAATCCTGCCTCAGAAGGTCCACGGTCAATGGACTCACGCCGGAAGCCGGGTGGAATCTGATTTTCAAGGAAATTATTAGAAGAAAAGAAACTTTCCCAAAAATGCCGATGAGCTCCATGGAGTGGAGGGGCCAGAGCAGACTGTGTGCTTGTAGGACAGCTGAGGGACAGTGTGTCTGGGAGACACCAGGGAGACACTGTGTCCTTGCAGGACAGCGGGTGGAACTGAGCGCCCCTGGTGGGCAGCAGGGGATCAGGGAAGCAGTGCAGGATGGCAGGGCTCCAGCAGTGCTCAGGTGGGATGCTCCTCTCCCCAGGATGGCCTTGCTGCGCTGCTTACCTCGGCTGCCGGGGGCCCTGACATCCCCACCTCTGCCACCCATGCATCCTGTGTTATAAATGCCTCAGAAGACCATCTGGGTGGGACAGGTGTTGTAGCAGCAGCCAGGATCCTGCTCGGGAGGGAAATTCCATATCCAAGTACCTGGTTTGCATTCAGTTCTGCCTCTGATTCCAGGTCCCTGTGAATATGCACCCTGAGAGGCACCGTGACGGCTTAAGCACTCGAGTCCCTGAGCCCCACATGGGGAGACTCGATTCTAAGCTCCTCACTTCACCCGGGTCCAGTCCTGGCTATTGTGGGAACGCGGGGAGTGAGCCCGTGGGTGGGAGATCTGTTTGCCTGTCTGTCTTGTCTATCACTCTATGGCTCTCTGCCTTTCAAATAAAATGAAAATTAATAGATACTAATTTTTTTAAAAGGAAACCATCTTCAGCCTTTTAACTCCAGGAAAACCCTGCCTGCACTGATTTATTACCCGACAAAGACCCGGAGCTGTTGCTCCAGCCCTCAGGCCCCCAGCTGGACAAGTCCCCACCACAGAGGCTCCTCTGGGTTCCCTGAGAGTGGCGCTGAGACCAAGTTCTCACCTGTTTCTCTGAGCAAGACACTGGCCCTCAGGGAATCAGGCTGGGCACGGCTCTCCTGCTGTGCATGCCCACTGCTCTGCCTCTGTCTAGACGTGGAGGAAAAAACACGAACTGCAGGAAGCAAGTTCTGAGTGAAGGGCAGTGATAGCACAAGGTGCCCTTCAGTCAGGAAGGGGGATGGGGAGACAGGAGGAGAAGGAAGTCACTTTCAAGACAGGTCGACACCGAAGTACTAAGTGCAGGATGGTTTTTTGTTTTTGTTTTTTAAATAACAGCTAAAAGTAGATGCAACTTTAATACGTGTTAACCAGCAGAGAGATGGAGACGATGTCACAGAGTGATACATACACTGGAAGGGCGTGAAGCCATTGCATGGTGTGTGTGTGTGTGCACACGCGCGTGTGCTCGTGTGGGTAAGAGGGTATGTTAGGGGCGGGGCATTTGGCACAGCAGTTACCATGCCACGGAGCTTGTCCATATCTCATATCAGACGGAGTGCTTAGGTTCAAGTCTCGTTCCACTTCTGATTCCAGTTTCCGGCTCTGTGCACCCAGGGAGGCAGCAGGTGGTGTCTCAAGTCCTTCGGTCCCTGTCACCCATGTGGGAGACCCAGGTTGACAGCCTAGCCCAGTCCCAGGGCATTTGAGGAGTGAACCAACAAACTCTGCCTCTCTCTCACTCTGTCTCTCTGTCTCTGTCTGTTGATTTTCTCTCTCCTCTTCAAATAAATGAACATAAATGAAAATAAGTTACAGAAAATTAGGACTACAATATGATACCACTTTTTAAAAAAGATTTTATTTATTTATTTCAGAGGTAAAGTTACAATCAGAGAGAGGGAGAGACAGAGAATCTTCCATCCACTGGTTCACGTCCCAAATGGCTGTAATGGCTGGAGCTGAGCCCATCTGAAGTCAGGAGCCAGGAGCTTCTTCCGGACCTCCCATGCAGGTGCAGGGGCCCAAGGACTTGGGCCATCTTCTACTGCTTTCTCAGGCCATCATCAGGGGGCTGGATCAGAAAAGGAGCAGCTGGGACACAAACTGGCACCCACATGGGATGTCAGCACCACAGCAGGCACAGCCTACCACGCCACAACACCGGCCCCCACAATACCACTTTTACAGGTATATATATCTATATCTATATCTATATCTATATCTATATATAGAGAGAGAGGCTTGTCTATCCCAGAAGACTATAAAGCAAAAGGTGTCCTGTCTCTGTGTCAAAATTAGAAGTGACCTCATCTTTTCATTTTTAAATATTTTCTGATACCCTGGCAATGAGAGGAATATAATTTATCATCAGAAATTAAGGGGTTTGCAATTTTGAAAGCATATGAGCTGAAGATAACGTTAAATTTGAGAGACAGAAAAAAACTTCTTTATGTATTTTAAATAGGCTACTTTGGCAACGATATTTGGCACCATCATGACAAAAGCAGCTAAATGTTCCTCTTAGAAGTTTGGCCGGAAAAGCAGTGCTTTCTTCCCAATTATTTTCCCCTGCGAGTTATTCAAGTAATGAAGGCTTGCTACAGAAAATTCCACAAAGTGTGTTTCACTATCTTTCACAGGGTGGTCCGAACAAGGCGTGTGGCTCCCCATCTGTCTGCCGAGGTTCTGGGATTCCAGGGTGAGGGGAGGCGCGGTGTGTTCCCCCTTCTTCCTTGCTTGTGTAGCCCTTGTTGATGGATAGACATTACTGTGTGTGATGAATTATTAATGGAAGAAGCTGTGCGGACATAAATATTCAAGGGGTGCATCTGGTTTCCCAATGCTTTATGTAAGGCAGAAAAAATACATTTTTATTGAGCAGAACAACTTGTCAACCCCAAATCTCTTGCTTACCTGGACCCAAGCGTTACAAGAAGGAAAAAGCGTCTTTTGACGTGTCACATGAAGTTCCTGCTGAGCCCCACTGGTGTGTGTGTCGTGTGCAGCAGTTTGGCCTGGAACAGACAGTGTGAACCAATAAAGCCACCAAACTCCCTTCACCGGATGTGAGGCTCTCTGCGGCCATTGGGTAGGGAGGGGACTTTGCCACAGCATCATCATACAGGAGAAAATTGCAGCCTTAGAAAAGGGGGCCAGCGCTTGGGTCAGCAGGTTAAAGCCCTGCCCTGAAGCAAAAGCGTCCCACATGGGTGCCGGTTCTAGTCCCGGCTGCTCCTCTTCTGATCCAGCTCTCTTCTGGGGCCTGGGAAAGCAGTAGAAGATGGCCCAAGTCCTTGGGCCCCTGCACCCACAGGGGAGACCCAGAAGAAGGTCCTGACACCTGGCTTCAGATCAGTGCAGCTCTGCCTGCTTCAGCCATCTGGGGAATGAACCAGCAGATGGAAGACCTCTCTCTGTGTGTCTCTTACCTTTCTCTGTAACTCTGTCTTTCAAATAATAAAATATATCTTAAAAAAAGAAAAGGACAAAGGAGGAGGAAGTGCACCTAAGGCACTCTTGAGAAGAGCAGGGCCCATAGGGCTGGGGGACTTGGGAGCCACCAGGGCTCGTCCAGGTGACCCCTCCCAGAGTTTCTCACTCAGGAAATACCAAAAATTGTCCAGAGGTGAGTGCTTCATCTTCAGGGCACGTCTGCTTCTAATGCTCGCATCAGAAGCCGATGGTCTAAGAAGCAGTTACAGGAGCAGAAGAGGCCACTCCTGCTCAGCTGAGCCTCGGGTGCGTCCTCCACGGAACCCGTGCAGTGCTGCTCACCTGCCGTGCCCCTCCGTGAGGACCCTTACAAATGGAGCGTTTCTTAAACCAGCCCTGCTCCAGGTGTGTTGCATACAACCCCAGTTCCAAGGAATGCTGATAGAAAGATCTGGAAAAGTCACAGTGAATTCCAGTGAAGCCTAACAAGTATGTAAGTAGGTATCCTGGGTTGTAGAACACAGAACTTGTAAAAACAAAGCAAAACGAAAACCCCCATTGGAAGGCAAGTGACTGAAATTGAGAAGAGAGGGCTTTCTGTGGGGAAGAGAAGAGAGGAATGGATGAGATGGAGGGGGCCACAGGAGGGAGGGTGACGGCATCCCTGGGGGGAAAGGCATGAGGCTGGGGTGCCTGGAAGAGCGAGCCAGCAAGGGAGCCCCTGGGTGGGAATGGCGCGTTTTCGGGGAGTCTTAGTGGGGAAAATTGGGGGGCAAAGACGTGAAAGAAGAACTGTTTAGTTCTATCTGCTTATCTGCTTACAAATTGTTTGGGGCCAAGTTTTTTTGTTTTGTTTTTTTTTTTATAAAGCTCTGCACTATTCAGTCTTGAATTAAGAATACCAAAAGCAGAGTGGTGCGAGGGCGAACACACGCAATGTAGCAGTAGATGCTCCAGGGAACATCAAGTTGTTGGAGCAAACCTGGAAATGACCAGTCGCTCTGTTTAAGTTCGTGTCTGAACAGGATGCCATCATGTTTTGGTATCAGGCCGCTGACACAAAGGTAGAGTACTCCAGCAGTGATCCGATGTTGGGGTCTGTTTCCTGAACAACGGGAACACTGCTCTCTTCTCGCCTTTTCAGGGATAGCAGTGTTCCTGCGTTTCCTGGGAACCTGGCCGCACTCGGCCCTCCCTCCTTAGTGAGCCGGATCCCATTGCATGCCCCTTTCTGAACCAGTTTATCCGGAGAGCGACTTCTTGGGCTGATCGGCTGCTCCCTCCCAGTTAAATTGAGAAAGTGTGTCCTGAGACAGAAACCAGTTCCTGATGAAGCGGAGCCCGTCAGGAGGGAGGAAGCGAGGATCCGCAGGGCTGGCAGGCATCCGGCAGTGCCTGGTACCCACTCCCGGCTCCTTTATTTCTCATGACCTAGAATGCTTACTGAACAGGGCAGAAAAGCCACCAGGTGAAAGGGGCTTAGTAAGAGTGAAACTTCCCATTGCAGTTCTATGTGGCTGGTCTCTCGTTCATTGAGAACTGGTGTTTAAAAATAGGCTTCTGTTCAGCTATTAAAATTTTGGACTTTTTTTTTGACAGGCAGAGTGGACAGTGAGAGAGAGAGAGAGAGAGACAGAGACAAAGGTCTTCCTTTGCCATTGGTTCACCCTCCAATGGCTGCCGTGGCCAGCGTGCTGCGGCCAGCGTACCGCGCTGATCCGATGGCAGGAGCCAGGTGCTTCTCCTGGTCTCCCATGGGGTGCAGGGCCCAAGTACTTGGGCCATCCTCCACTGCACTCCCAGGCCACAGCAGAGAGCTGGCCTGGAAGAGGGGCAACCAGGACAGAATCTGGTGCCCCGACCGGGACTAGAACCTGGTGTGCCGGCGCCGCAAGGCGGAGGATTAGCCTAGTGAGCCACGGCGCCGGCCCAGACATTTTTGTGTTGGAAATAATGGAAGGAAATTAGAACATCTTCACAGGTTTTTTAAAAAATCTTTTATTAATTTATTGGAAAGGCAAAGAGACAAGGAGAGAAACAGAGACAGACCGATCTCTCATTTGTTGGGTCATCCCCCAAATATCCACAACAGCCAGATCTGGGTCAGATTCAGTTTAGGAGCCCAGAACTTAATCTGGGTTTTCCACAGGGTAACAGGGACCCAAGCACTTGAGCCATTACCTACTGCCTTCCGGGGTGCACAGGAGCAGGGAGGTGGAATTAGGAGGGAAGCTGGGACTCAAAGCCAGAGGCTCTGATGGTATGCAGGCCTCACAAGCCTCTTCTTAATCCCTGTGTCAAACCCTCTCCCCTGCAGGATGTTTTAACCCAGCTAGAACGTACATATCCTTGGGCTGTCTACTTCACTGAAGAGAAGTTTCTTACAGATGTTTATTGCTTCTTGTTAAGATTTCACACCCCAAGGTGACCAAAACATAAAAGACAACTCTTAATTTTTTTTAAAAAAGATTTATTTATTTATTTATTTGAAAGGCAGAGTTGCAGAGTGACAGAGGCAGAGAGAGAGAGAGGTCTTCTATCTGCTGGTTCACTCTCCAAAAGGCTGCAGTGGCTGGAGCTGTGCCGACCTGAAACCAGGAGCCAGGAGCTTCTTCCAGGTCTTCCCACGCAGGTGCAGGAGCCGAAGGACTTGGGTCATCTCCTACTGCTTTCCCAGGTTATAGCAGAGAGCTGGATCAGAAATGGAGCAGCCGGGACTTGAACCAGTGCCCATATGGGATGCCAGCACTGCAGGCAGCAGCCTCACCCACTATGCCACAGTGCTGGCCCCTTAAATTGTTTTTAAGATTGCAGTGAATTCTCATTCTCAGTGGTACTTAAGCTCCCTGAAGGCACTGTGATCACTGAATCAATGAGTGCTGAACTGTCTTTTCTTGGATACCTGTACCGTGAGGTTCCTGCGAGTCTCTGACCACACAGATTTCTTCATCAAAATGCTATTTGTATGACATAGTTTCTACATATAAAACAAGCATCGGCTTTGAGGTTTCCTGTGCAATTAACAGGCGTTTAAAGTGTTCCCACAGCCTCCTGGCCTGCAGGAAGTGCCTCACCTGCAAGTCCCATTTTTCTCCTCACTGCCTCGTCTTGTGAAATGTGTGAGCCAGCACCAGCCAAGTGGGATTTCACGTTTGCTTGACTCTGGATCATGTGGCCGTACGTGTCTCTGACTTTCAGCCTCTCCACAGCGCTCTCCACTGTGCTATTTTTGATCCGCTGTCCTCTCGTAAGCCCACAAGTCTGGCAGAATTTCCATTCCTTCCATCGCTTCATCAAACACTGTAGATGTCACTCTAGCATTTTGCAAATGGCCTTACACGCAGAGTAACCCGTTAGCTCCTCTTTGTCTGGATCTCCGGTGCTGTCAGTCATTAGCATTGAAGTCATGGCCAGCCTCGCTGTAACTCACCCTGAGGGAGGCTTGTCTAACACCCGTGTTTTCTTTGTAAGACGCATCACAACCTTCACTCCTAGGAACACCAGACAGCGGTTCACCATGGCACTTGGCAGCCATTTTAAACAGCAAAACTACCACCCCAAAGCACAGAAATGTTAAAATGTGGCATGAACTAGGCCATGAAGAGGACACTTGTCTACAGTATGAGCTGGAGCGGGAAGTCAGAGCATGCCGTGTTCAGTCCCAGCTGGGACCACGTGCACTGTGCACCTGCAGCGTCTCATCTTGGCCTGTTTTCAAGGCCACAAAAATGTCGTGAGTGTTGGGGTTAACAAATAAATGGTGGAGAGAAGGCAAATTTGCAAATATGAAATCTGTGAGTAATGAGTTGACTGTATTGTGGAAAAGGAACACATTAAATTTTTCTTTGATTATTAATGAGTGAACAAGCAGTGTCAAAGCTAGAGGGCAACCAAAGATAGCAATAGACATTTTTTCATTTATTTTATTATTAAGATTTATTTATTTTTTGAAAGGTAGAGTTACAACACACACACACACACCACATACACACAGATCTTATACCTGCTGGTTCACTCCCCAGATGGCCTCAGAGAGAGAAAGAGAGAAATTTTCCAACTACTAGTTCATTGCCCACAACACCCAACAGCCAGCGCTGGACTAGGCCTGGGTCAGGAGCCAGGAACTCCATCCAGGTCTCCCACTTGAGTCCAGACACTTCTGAAGCATAGGGTGGAGGCCATCAGAGCATGGACAGGCACAGTGGTGTTCCTGCCAGAGTGCCAAGTCCTGGAGACCAGGGCTGTTTTCTCTCTAGGTCACTGTAGTGCCAGTGCTTAGCACAGTGGGAGCCACTTGGCAGAGACTGATTGCATTGAGCACATTGCATGAGTAAAATGGTAGCCTGGATCCTATTCCCTTTGGCAGGGATGGCTCCCTGCAGGGATGTCTCAGTGTGGATAAGCATGTATGGGATCAGGATGTGGAGAGGACCTATAGCACCAGAGGGCTCAAGTCACGTTCCAGGCGTGCTCAGAATATCTCCTTGACTAAGGTTCAAAGCTGCTTTCTCTAGTTGGGTGGCTCCCTCAGCTGCCAAGCTGCCATGTCGCCCTCCCTCCCCGGGGCCAGGGAGTGAGCTGTACCCATCCGGAATTAGCCAGGGTCCACTTGGGTATCAGGTTATCAGTGAGACACCCCTGTCCTGGGGAGCCAGGGTCCACGTGCCCAGCCTCTCCCTCCCCTGTGACATACTTGGTAAGTGGAGATCTCCCTCCCCTCTTCTGTCAGGGGGTCTCAGACCTAGCTCCAAGTTCACGTCCTCTGGAGGGCTTTTTAAAAAATACTGATACTTGGCCCTGATCTTCTGTCTGATTTCAAATGGTCAAAAAAAATTCACTTTTTAAAAATGAGATGAAATTCACATAACAGAAATCTGTTTTAGAGTGAACAACACTGTGACATCAAGTATATTCACAAGGCTGGAAAGGCATCAGCCCATCTAGTTCTGAAACATTCTCATCCCCCAACATAAAATCCTGTATCCAGTAGGCAGTGAATCCCGCTCCCCCACCCCTGCCCCCACAACCCGCTGATTGGTTGTGTGTGTGGATCTGTCTACTCTGAATATTCTGTATGAATGAAATCACGTGTGACCTTTCATGTGTGACTGTTTTGACTTCAATGCTTTTTTAGTTCATCCATATCTAAACTTGTCTCACTACGGCGTCATTGCTTTATAAGGCTGGGTGAGATTCCATTTTGTGATAAGTCATAATTTATCCATTTCTTTACTGATAGACACGCGGGTTGTATTCCCTTTTTGGCTGTTGTGAATCCTGCTGCTATGAACATTTATGTTCAGGTATAGGAGCACCTGTTTTCAATTCTGTTTGGTGTATACCTATCAGTGCAGTTTCTGGTCACATGGCAATCCTGCATTTAACCATTTGGGGAAACACCACACTGTTTCTCCATGGCTGAACCATTTTGCATTCCTATTATCAGTGCATAAAGGTTCCCCTTTTGCCACATCCTCACCAACAATTACCATTTTCTGGGTTTGCTTGTATGTTTGATCATGTCCTTTATTACACAAAACCTTTTACTTTTGATGAAGTCCAGATTATCTATTTTTTCTTAAACTGCATATGAATTTTGTGTCACATCTAAAAATGTTTCCAAGTCCGAGATCATTAAA